GGGTAGGCATCTGCTCTCCTGCTGCATCTAGAGTTGTGCACGCAGTGGGCACACCCATGCTTACCTGTTTGGTGAAGGCGGTTAACTGATAGCCAGGGAATAGACTAGGGACATTTTGTGGAGGTGAGGGGCACAAGGAACTGAGCCACGCAGGAGTGAGAGGTAAGGAAAGTTTGTGCTCCGAACTTTGGGGCCTGGCCGTGTTTGCATGGAGTTTGGTTAGGACGGGGGGGGGGGGGGATGTAAATGCTGGGGGGGCTGGGGGACAACAGTTAATCTCCTTTGGGTTGCTTTTTGAGTTGCTTTTTGAGGTCCCTTGTTTATTCTTGGCCAGTATTGCTGGTGACCTCGCTTCTGGAGCGGGCTTGCCCGGCAGGTCGTGGGGGGTGGGGGGGGGTGCATTTCTCAACTCTCCGACCCCCTTTCACCCCCGCCCAAAGGCCGCAGAGCTTTTTCGGAGTTGAGCCCGGCCGGCAGGCTGCTCAGCTTGGCAGGCGGGGCTGGGGCCGCGAGTGGGGACCCCCACGGGGTGGGGGTTAGCGGGGGCGGAGCGTGGGCGCAGCGGCGGCAGGGGGGGGCGGGACGGGGCGGGGCGGCCGCCGCCTGACGTGTCTCGGCTGGATTGGAGCCGCCGCCCTATATAGCCACGGGGGCCCGGGCGCCGGCCTCGAGCGCGGCCGGCTTCTCGGCGGCGGGCGGACGGCGGGACAGACGGGGCCGACCCCAAGGAGTGAGCGCGGGCTGGAGGGGTGGGGGCCGAGCGGGGACGGGGGTCTGCGGCGCCGGGAAGTTGGGGCGCGGGGCGGGCGGGGCGCAGGCTGCGGACGTGGAGCGCGGGGCGGGGGAGGGGCCGAGGCCCCCTCCCCCCTTCCCCCCACCCACCACCCGGGTGCCCCCTCTCCTTCCGCCGCCCGGCCCGGCCCGGGGGGGCGGCTACGTGTCACCACTGCGCATGGGCCGCGGCGCCGGCTAGGGAAGAGTGAGAAACTTTCCCGAGTCCGCGGTGCTGGCCCGCGCCCACCCCCACCCCACCCCCAACTCTTGCCTTCCACGGCGGCCGCCCCCACGGAGCCCCGCTCTCTCCGTGCCGCTCCCCCCCCCCGCCCCTTGCCCCCAGTCCCCTAGCCCGGCGCGGGGGAGGGGCGGCCGACCTGGGCCCGGGCCGCTGACGTGGGCGTCCGGCCGCTGAGTTGACCCGTCCCACCACCACCCCGCACCCCCGCGCGCCCTCCCCGGACTCGGGCTGGGGGGCAGGCTTGCGGGGCTGGGGGTGCAGCGCATGTCCCGAAGGGCAGGGTCGGGGCCGGCAGGGCGGCAGGGCCCCGCGCAGGCCCAGCCGCACCTCCACCTGCTGCCTGCTTACGTGGTGCGGTGGGTCTGCCGCCCTGGGGGGCTGCAGTGCCACTTGGACGCACCCCAGGGTCGGCGCACGAAAAATACTTTACGGAAAAATACCGAATTGGGATGAAAGGCGGAGAGGCCGAGCGCGTTACTGCCCCTTTAAGCCTGTCCCCGCCCGCGGGCTCGCGTGGCCTGTGGGAGGGCCTGCTGAGGTGGCATCTGCGAAAGTTCCTCCTGCTGCGGCCGGGCCGGGCCGGGCCCACTTCGCAACTTGGGGAGCCGCTCACCTGGCCCTCGGGTGAACCTTTGGCCTGTCGGATTGCGTTTTTGTTCTCAGGTGTGGTGTGTGGGTCTTGAGAAGTACGTTGGGGGAAAAGTTTTTCTTGCAGGCTTGCTGTGGGGATAGAGGTGACGAGTTTAATTTTGGGTTTGCACAGCGAGTGTCGGTGCCGGGCACACTCGGTCGAGCTGAAGCAGGAGCACCTCTGGGGGCCCCGGACCAGGCTCGCTCTGCTCTGTTCCTCCTGAGTTCTGTCTGCAGACTTCTGCTTGGAACATGTAATTGACAGGCACAAGGGAATCCACGTGTACTTCTTGTCTCGAAGCAAAATAAGTAAAACTCAACCTTGAAAGATTTTCTGTGTCAATTTGCTAGGACCCGGTTTCGGATGGGATCCCCATAATGTCTTCCTGTGTCTCTCCCACAGCACCGAGGGTCGGGTGCTTGCAGTTCCTGGGGACCGAGGACACTCTCTGCTTCTGCCTCTCTCTTTCCTTTGGTTCTAGTTCTGTTTGTTGCATAGTTATGTTTTCAGAGGTGCCTTTTTTTCTTCCGTCCTTTCTTTTTTTTCCTGTGGACACCACACTCTGAGAAACAAGACTTAAAGTCCAGGGTGAGCGTAGTTTAAGATTTCCATTAACTGGATCTGAATGCTTCCTGCAGGGAAGGTAGGTGAGAACGAGCAAAATGATGAGGGGACGGGGGCAGTCTGGGGAAAACCTCGAGCAGACGGCCCCACGTGGCTGAAGCAGCCCTGCAGGAAGGAGCGGGCTTGTTCTCTGTGGTGAGAAGGGGGAGTAAAGTTGTGGGTCTTGGCACTGCCAACAACACCCTACTCTGAGAGCTGTGCAGAGGTGGAGCGTGGCTCCTTCGGAAGGTGTGCAGGGCCTGTCTGGTAGCACTCAAAGGTTGCCGAAGGTCTCTTCCGAGCCCGATTTGAGCAGTGTTCTTAGGTTCATCGAGGAGCTGTGAACGCACCCCGTGATGGTGGGGCCTGTGTCAGGGCGCCTGGGAACTCAGGAGAGCAGTGGTCACTGTGCAGTCGTGGCAGACTCTGGAGCGGGAGTCCCCCTGTCTTGTGCTGTGCGTGAAGGCCGAGTGAGGGCTCGCAGGAGCGGGCTGGCCTGGGCACAGAGCTGTGCGGGACACTTTCTTTGGTGCCGCCTTGTAGAAGTGGAGGCAGGTAGACAGTCCTGCTGAGAGCACGTCAGGAGGGCTGAGATCAGCCTCCTATAAAACCTTACGGCAGAGCCGTAGGTGAAGGGAGGTCTGCGTTTGCTTATGGGTCACGAGGTATATGCTTAAAATGGATTTGTAGAAAAGACGTTTATTTTAAAAAAAAAAAAAAAAAAAAGAGCGACCTTCCCTGTGGATATAGAACCCCAGATGGTGTCTCTGTTGCTGGTTGTGATCCATTCCTTTCCAGCTGTGACAAACTGCCATTGGAAACCTGGGGACTAGAAACCCAGTGTATCCTGCCAGACAAGTCTGGAGTTTCCTGGAGATCCGCTCTGTCCTTCTGTTGCCTGAGGGCCTGTGCACGTGTGGGGGCGTTAGAGGCTCTGGGACACTTTCCCTCTGGGACGCTAGTAGGTGTGTGACCCTCTCTTGAGCCTTTTGCACTACGAGGTCTCAGAGGAGCGAGCTGGAATGGGTTTTTGGAAGGTGTGGGAGCTAGCTCAGACCTTCAGGGACTTGCCCTCCTTCATGGCACTAGGGGCAGAGTGGGAATCCCTCATCACAGGCCTGTGGCTGGGGGGACGTGGACAGTGACTGTACTTTGCAGGGTTGCTGTGTGGCTGTCGTTGGGCACTGAAGGTTTGTCCTGGCAGGAAGGCAGGAGGAGCGGTCAGTAGGAGCAGAGAGCAGAGATGTGGGTGTAGTTGATCACGTGGGGGACCTAGATATGAGGGGGTGTCTGAGGGCTTTAGGAAGTAACATGGGCTCCCAGCACGACCTACAGTGGGAGGCTGTTGAGATGCAAGGTCAGCGGGTGAAAGGGCAGGTGCACCCCAAGTGGGAGTTCTGAGTGAGGAAGGCAGTGGGGATGCTTGGGTCCCGGCTTCACCATCGGTGCTTTGACCTAGAACACCTCCATCTTGTGCCAAGACTAGCTAAGTGTGCACTGGCCGGACATTTGGGATTCCAAGGAGTGCTCACGTTTTGCACCTTGTCAAAATCAATGTGTGAATGCACTGCTCTGATACTTTGGTTTAATGGGAAAGCGTTGATCTTTAGAACTTGTGGGCTAGAATTGTCGGAGACGGGTCTCAGAAAAAATTGTCCTGCTCAGTTTGTCCCCACTGTTCTCCCTCTGTCTCAGGGTGCATGCCAGTGTCTGGTGGGACTCGGGCCGCAGAGGCTCCTGTGACTGAAGCCTCACATTTAGAGGTTTTAGTTTTTTTGTTTTTTTAATTCCTGAAATGCTCTGGACAATGAGACCCTTTTAAGTCTGGGGTCTCTTGGTGCACCCCTGATTGTCATGAACTGTTCCTAGCTCCTGAATTATGCATGTTACGGGCGAGAATTTGGGGGTGTTATTCTCCAGTCAGGTAGGAGGATGTTCTTATTACTGTTGTCGATTCTCCCATCTCAGACACGTACTCAGCCCTTGTTATAAAGTCTCCTTTATTGCACTTTACTGAGTGTGGTGATTTGCGTAAAGTGGCAGGTAGCCTGCCTGGCAGCCTCACTCTCCCAAAGCCCTTAAGGCAAGGTGACCCACACCCTCTTACTTCACAGAGTGCTTCTCAGTGCTTCCCAGATGGCCTTTGAAGGTCCTTTCCAACCCTGCTAGTTTATGGCCTGGTTTCTAAATCCCCGGTGGATTAGAAGGGACCGAAGGACTTTTACAGGATAACAGCGGGAACAGAGTAAGCACCAGGCACAGCAGGCTCTTCAGGGCAGTAGCTCTCGGTCACCCCGAGATGCGCAGGAGGAGCCGCCGAGGCCCACGTTCCCTTCTGTGGCACGGAATGTTTTTCCTTCTGGCTTAGCAGTCCGAGATTAAGAGGAGTACAGGAGAAATTCATCAACCGTGCAAGAGAACAGACCATCAATTTTATAAGGATTGTACTTCAAAATGGGCAAATTGAAAAGTTTTGGCATTTAAGGGTCACTCCCTCCAGTACAGGGAAGAGTTGCCCCCTGTAATAGGTTTTGTTTGAAACTGATAGCCTAAAGGCAGAGAGTGTCCCCTTTTTTCCAAAAAAAAAAAAACAAAACAAAACTTGTCTAAATATTGGTAGTAGGAACCAAAGTGTAGATAATGTCTTGCGGTCTTCTGGTCGGGAGGTAAAAGGATCTGGGTTGTAGAACACAGACGGTAACTTCTCTCCGGTTTTCTCCTCGCTCCCGCTCCCCTCCTGCCCCACACCAGCAAAACCTGGCAGGCTGACAGGCGGCCTCAGGACGGACTCTCTGGCTACTGACCATTTTGCTGGTAAGTTTGACCGTCTTTTCCTAGGGTTTCCCATCCCCTGGGCCGCACATGCACACATTTCTAGGGGCTCCGAGAGACTGGCGGCCCCACCTCTGGACGCGGGCAGCGGGTGCGTGTGCCCTTGAGGTGTGTCATGTGGCTTCCACCTGTGTTCAAGTTCTTTGTTTCGTCAGGATTGTCTGAATTTGGATCTTGTTCTCTTTAGGAAAGTAGTTTAATTTTCTTAGATTTAGGAAGAGTTCTATCTGCGTTGTGAAAATCACACAAACACTTAACATCTTACATCACTTGGCTCACTACTTTCTTGCCATGGTGGCAGAAAGACACTTGGTGCGTAGTTGTGTGAAAGAGCAGCATGGAGCTCACCTAGAGTTGAAGGGAGGAAGCCCCTTTTCCAAATAGGGGCTGTGGCTCTTGGAGTTGGAGTCCCGCCAGGCACGGGCCGCTCCGGCGTCAGGTCTGGAGGCAGAGACCGCGTGGTTCTTTCCCTGGACTGAGGAACTTTATACCCTCGGGTCCCCTCTGACCCCTGAGACACAGGACGTCAGAGAATAGCCCACCAGCACCTGTCAGAGGCTGTTACCCCCTGCTTCTTGCTGTTCCATGGAAAGAGGCTGCTCTCCCTGCCTGCGGACCAGACAGCCTTGCCGGGCGATGCGGCGCACTGGGCCCTGCCCGTAGTGCCCGTGGCGCCTGAGATCCCTGCTGCGGACCCTGTTTGATTGGCTTTCGGTAGCAGCTCTCCTGCTACCGAATGTTTACGAGCGTTAGGAGGCGTGTGGAAGAACCAACCCGCAGAATGTCTGAGGTAGCTGTGAGGATGGCCGTCCGGGTGTCAGTCTGCACTGTGGCCGCCCCGGGGCTTCATGGGACTGGGGCCTGCGCCCCCTCTCTTGGAGGCTAACCTTGGAGGGGAGAGTTGTTCATGACCCTCCTTCACTTGAGCACTCTGCCTTTCGTCACTCGGTGAGAGTTAGGGTGTCCTGGTACCTCACAGGTTGTAAGTGAGGAGAATGGTGTGGTTTGCTGGTGAAATACAGTTAAACCCTTGGCTAAAACCCTAAGCTTAGCAGTCTGGCTGTGCCTTGACTTTCTTCCCTCTGACTTCCTCCTTCCCTCTTCAGTGGCTCACCTGGATTGTGCGCGGGCGCGGGATCAACCATGAGCTCCGTTGCAGTCTTGACCCAAGAGAGCTTTGCTGAACACCGAAGTGGGCTGGTTCCGCAGCAGATCAAAGGTGACGGTCCCTCTTGAGCCTCTCTCCTTCACTCTGAGATGTTGCTCCTTCCACGTCTTTGTCACATCTTTTGGCCTTTTCGAAGTGCCTTTTGGGACCATTGTGGGTCAGAGGCTGGGCTCACCCTTCTTGTGCACACTGTTTGCTCTGTCCGCACCCTTGCGTACAGGGTGGAATTGAGCAGCAGTGGTGAGTATTTCTGGGTACAGAAATACTTCCACTGTGGACCACTTTACCGAAAGCCAGTGATTTGGGTCATTGGTAATTAATGGGATTCTTTTTCAAAATTGCTGTCCCCCAGTTGTGTTGAACTAAAATCCTTCAAGATCTGGTGTCTATTTACATAAACAGGATAACTTGATTTGAATGCTAAATTTTCATTCATGACCCTTCATTTGTATGCAGATTCTATAAAATTTTCAGGTGAAAGAGTAGGTTTTTCCTATTCCAGGTTCTAAACCTTAAATGTTTTCTAATAGCTGAATCAACTGTCAGTTCTTAAGTTTAATTAAAGTCAAAATTTCACTTTGTCAGTCCCACTGGCCATGTTTCGAGTGCTCATTTATTGCTAGGGCAGTGGAGATGCAAATACTGCCGAGTGCCCGCAGAGCTCAGCCTTCCCACCGGGCGCCGCTGCCCCATGCGGTCGTTCCCGCTCGCGAGGAGGATCGCGCGGCACCAAGGGGACCGGGAACCGGCTGCGTGGCAGCCCCCGAGGTGTGCTCGGCGCCCCGGGACAGCACGGCCGCGCGGCTAGAAGTGGTGAGCCCGGCGTGGCACGTCGGCCTGTGTGATTCCAGAGGTCATCTCCCTGCTCTGTGTGCACATCCACTCACTGCTTTTCACAGGGCCCTGCCATTGCCGGGGCGCTTGGGGGGGGGGGGGGTGTCCTAAACAGCCCTGCTACTGCTTTCACGGAGCTGTGGTTAACACGACAGGAAACCCTGTGAACGATTGGGGTGCTGTGGGGGCTGGAAGTGGTGAGCGCTCCGGGGCCTGGTTTCCACGAGGCCCGTTGCTTCCGTGTGGGGTTGGGGGGCGGTCAGGGATGGGCCTGCTGCGCCCTGTGGTGGGAGACGGGCCGCGGAGATGGTTCTTGCAGGCAGTGCTAAGCACTGACGTTACTTTGTGCTGCAAACTGAAGGGCTGATTATTGCCATGCGTTGTCATGGTTGTGATTCTTGAAGCACAGGATTAGATGACTCTTGGACTCAAATTCTTTGCGGTGAGGCCTGTTTTCACAAGCTCACCCCACCTGGGGGAGTAGGGCGCCCGGCATCTGGGCCGGCCCCTCCAGGCCACACGCTGAACCTGAGGGCGCTGGGCCTGGTGACCTCCCAGGGCCCTCTGCTGAATGTCACTGAATAGAGATGGGGGTGGGGTGTCACTCAAGCAATTAATGTTCTGTTTCTCTCATTTATTTATTTATTTATTTATTTATTTATTTATTTATTTTGACGTTAAAACTCTCCAAGTGTCCTTTTCGTCTAATGTTGAAAGCAGTGTGCTTCCTTTTAATCTGGGTTCGCTGGTCCAGTTGCTACCTTAAATTCAGAAGAGGAGAGCGACCCTCCAACCTACAAAGATGCCTTCCCTCCACTGCCTGAGAAAGCGGCTTGCTTGGAGAGCGCCCAGGAGCCTGCTGGCGCCTGGGGTAACAAGATCCGGCCCATCAAAGCTTCCGTCATCACTCAGGTAGAAACCCCATCCTTTCTTCATCTGCCACTCCAAGTTCGAGGTGGTAGCATCTGAGGGAGCAGGTTTCAAACACACAGAAATGGGAGTGCTTTGGGCATGTCGGGGTGGGGGTGCCTTTCAGACTAAATCAGCCCCTGCTGCTGGGGAAGCTGTTCCCCCACTCACCGGATGGCCTCATGCCCAGAAGGAGCGGGCCGCCTGCGTCTCCGGTCTCTACTCCCGCTGGAAGTGGCCGTCCGTGCCCCCAGCTCCAACAGGAACTTGTCCGTCTTCTCTGCCTTCTGTCAGAGCAAGTCCTCTCCTTTTGGCTCTGTGACACCTGTTTTCTTGGCTTTCTTTGACCTCCCTCATCCTTCCCTCTCTCTGCTTCCCTAACCTGGGACCTTGGCGAGGGGGACTCTGGTCTCTGTGTGTGACTCCTAATCAGGTTGTGCTTGTAGATCACTTACTATTCATGTGGCGAGAAGTCCCCTTCCCTGAACCTGAACCTCCTAACCAGCTGCATCCTGGATCTTTCCCATCTTCCCAGCAGCTATCTGAGATGGGCCTGGCATCTCCCTAGTCTTCCCGATGTTGTTAAAGCACCACGTTTTACTCAGGGGTTCAGGGCCAAAGCCAGGAGTCATTTTGGTTCCTTCCACTTCCACCCTTGCCTCTGCTCCACGCACTCTCTGTAGAGCAGCCGGAGCGGCCCACGTCGTCAGTCCGCAGGCCGCCTCCTGCCTGAGCCCCTCGCTACTTTCTCATCTCGCTGTAGAGGGAGCTGGGGGGCCCGGTTCCTTCCTTCCTCCTGCTTGGACCACACCCCACATGCTCACACTGCCCCTTGTCTGCCCCTTTTTACAGCCCCCCCCTTCTGTTCTCCCTCCCCTCTGAGTATGGCTGTTCTCTGCCTCCCTTTCCTCCGCCCTCTCACCTCCCTGCTTGTCCCCTTCACCGCTATTACCTGGTGCTCCCTTGCTGTCCCTTTGTGTCAGGGCGCAGTTCTCTTCTCTGGAGCCTCACCCTCCTGCCCTGATGTGCTTTTTGCGGTCGTGTCTCTCCAGCGCCCTCTCTGGCTGTAGAGCAAGGGAAGGGAGGAGGCAGGGGTGCTTAGGAGGGAATGAACTCAGGCTCTTTAGTCTGCGTTCAGGGCCTACACACTTAACCGTTCTGCGGCCCTGGGTCTCTTTACCTTCCCTTTCTGACTTTTCCTGAGCAGGTGTTCCACGTGCCCCTGGAGGAGAGAAAATACAAGGACATGAACCAGTTTGGAGAAGGCGAGCAAGCAAAAATCTGCTTGGAGATCATGCAGAGGACCGGTGCCCATCTGGAGCTGTCTCTCGCCAAAGACCAGGGCCTCTCCATCATGGTGTCGGGGAAGCTAGACGCCGTCATGAAAGCCCGGAAGGACATCGTTGCTAGACTGCAGACTCAGGTGGGTCCCCAGCCCAGTCCTGAGCGGGTGTGCCCGGGGCCGGGCTGCTGGCTTCATCAGACCCTTCCCCCGACTGGGGAAGCACATGTGGAGCCTCCTGGCATTTTTATTTGAAAAGCCACTAAATCAGGGATGGAAGTGGGACACCTACCGTTTTTGCTGCTTAACTGAGTGAACTGAAAGGTAAATAAAGGCTTGTCCCAGAGGTTGAGACGATTCAAGAAGCCGGGCTTGCTGGATGGTGTCGTGAGGACACCACCGCAGGTCGCTAGTTTCCAGGGAATGGCTCAAGAGCCTGTGCCTTGCTGGTTAAATACACTTTCCTGCGCCCTAAACTTGGGAGATCACAAGTTCGGATGTTGTTTTGAACCAGTTCCGTACTCCTTAGTAGTCTGGTACCACTACTTGGAATTGACTGGGGGGAACTGTTGTAGTGAATAAAGTAAACCTGTGATTTTTTTTTTTTCCATTAACAGTGTCACGTAAAGGTCAATACAGAGAATCTGACCAAGATGTCTTAATGACAGATACAGCATTAGACAGGTTTACTTAGAAATGGAGGTCCTGGGGGGCTTACTCGATTAGGCATCCGACTTCAGCTCAGGCCATGATCTCGCAGTTCATGGGTTCAAGCCCCATGTCGGGCTCTGTGCTGACAGCTCAGAGCCTGAAGCCTGCTTCAGATTCCTTGTCTCTCTCTCTCTCTCTGACCCTCCCCTGCTCGTGCTGTCTCTCTCTCTCTCAAAAATAAATAAAACATTTAAAACAATTAAAAAAAAAATGGAGGTCCTGGGGCTCCTGGGGACTCAGTCAGTTAAACATCCGGCTCTTGCTTTTGGCTCAGGTCATGATCTCACAACTTTGTGGGTTCAAGTCCCACATCAGATCAGACTCTGCACTGGCAGCACAGAGCCTGCTTGGGATTCTCTCTCCCTCTCTCTCTGCCCCTCCCCAACTTGTGCTCTGTCTCAAAACAAACTTTAAAGAAGAAAGAAAGAAAGAACTGGGGCTCCTATTGGTGCCTGCCTGGGTGGCTCAGTGGGTTGAGTGTCCGACTCTTGATTTCACCTCAGGTTATGATCCCGGGTTTGTGGGATCGAGCCCCGCATCAGGCTCTATGCTGAGTGCAGAGCCTGCTTGGGATTCTCTCTCTCTCCCTCTGCCCCTGCCCCCTGCTCACACCATCTCTGTCTCTCAAGAAAAAAATGGTGGGGGAGTGGGGTCTTGGAGTACCTGTCTGGCTCATTTGGAAGCGCATGCAACTCTTGATCTTGAGTTATAATTTTAAGCCCCACGCTGGGTATAGATATTACTTAAAAATACAGTCTTTAAAGAAAGAAACGAGGGTTCTCCCCGCCTGCTGCTGATGGGGGAGCTGGCTCTAGAATGTGGTGGCTAAAAGATGGGGGGTCTGTGGGGCAAGAGCAGGGGCTTAACAGGGAGAGGGACAACTGCCCTGTGCTGTCCACGCTCTCGGTCACCCAGTCCTGTGGGCCTTGGGAGGGTTGCTAATTCCCCACGAGCTTCAGGGAACAAGGTCTGGAAACACAGGCGCCACTTGCTTCGCCTTGCTGCTGATGTGTAGTCCGCTCTCTGGTCAGTGAATATTTGAGTATTTGGTGAGTGAGCGCTGGGTGGGGAGAAGACCTGACCCACTCCACTTCCTCTGCCCACCCTTTACTTTAAAGCAAATCCCAGACACATTCATCTGTAACTTTTGTCTGGTTCTCCCCCGACCTTTTTTAAAATATAATCTACCAGGCTGTTACTCATTAAAATTAATAGTAATTTTTTTTAAAGTGTATTACTTACTTTGAGAGACAGAGAGAAAGCACATGTGTATGCAGGGGCGAGGGGGAGAGAGAATCTCAAGCAGGTTCCACACTGTTGGTGCAGAGCCCAGCGTGGGGCTTGATCCTGTGAACTGTGAGATCATGACCTGAGCCAAGGTCAAAAGTCAGGCGCTTAACAGACTAAGCCACTCAGGTTCTCGTAAAATTAATAGTAATTTCATAATACGTACATGTGAAGCCCAGTCTGTGGGCTTCTTGCATTATCTCCAGCTGTCTTCTGAGTCCACTTGTCCGAACCAGGCCTCCCTGCTGTGCGAGTAGTGCTCACACCCTCTTTCGTTCCTCAGAAGTGCCCTCTTCTCTTCTTCTTAATGCCTTTGATTTTCTGGGACGAGCAGTTTTGCTTTGTCACGCTGTCCATTGTTATTTCCTGTAAACTGGGGGTTCGATCCAGTGGTTGGTTACTTTTGTCTTCAACTTGTCTGGCAAGAAAACTTATGGGTGATCCTGTGTGATCACTATGGATTCCAAGACTAGACTTGAGCTTCAGCAAATCCATCCATTAATTAAGTTTCTGATCTTTTGCTTAGTAGCTGTGTCATCTGCAGACAGCCTGGATTTATTGGGGTGCAGATGGTGGCTTTCTCACCCTCCCTAACCCCTGCTCCTGCATTACCTGATTGATTGGTATTCCTGTGAAGAACTTTCCTCAGCCAGCTGCCGAGTCCATGTCCGGCCTGCGCTGACACCCTGGCATCTTCACTGGGGGGTCCTTGACTCTTCTCAGTCGTTAGGAACTTTTGATATGTTGATTTAGTTAGTCTTTATGGTGAAGTTTGTGTCATTTTTGGACAGTGGGAGCCCCTTCGGTTTGGCCTCCTACAGCTTTCTGGGGGTGATCGTTCATGTCCATCATGCCCTAATTTTGAACACAGAGACGAGCAGGCCAGTTGTAGCCATGGACCTGAAGTCAGCTGTCCATCCAAGAACTCTGTGCCCCCTCCTTTTTTTAAAATTGTTTTTGATGTTTATTTTTTAGAGAGCGGAAGGGGCTGTGAGAGAGAGACAGAGTACAAAGCAGGCTGAGCTGTCAGCACAGAGTCAGACACGGGGTTCGAACCCATGAACTGCGAGATCCTGACCTGAGCCAAAGTCGAACGCTTAACTGACTGAGCCCCCCAGCGCCTCTCTGTGCCTCTTTATTAGAAAGTTGCATGAGTACTAACTGTAGTTCTAACTAAGATGAAAGACGGTGGAGTTTAAAAGTGCTTGAAGGAGTTTATGGTCTCCTCTTGAGGTACGGTTCGGTTGGGACAGAGTCAGATCTGTGTCACAAGGGTCTGTCAGAGACCGCTTCAGCCCCCGGTCCCTCCCTCCCCTGCCGGGTGATGGTTCTTAGTCTTGTAACCTCCCCTTGTTTGGGATTGAGAATAGAAGCAGGAGGTGACTCTCTGTAACGGGCCTTGCTCCGCACCCTGTTTCCTGCGTATTCTGAAGGTGTACGTGTCAGCAGATCGTGACTTTCCTCCTTTCTCTGTGGCTGCACGGTGCTCTGGGAGGGCTGTAGTCATTCAGGCATTCCTGCCGATGGGCATTTGCCTGTCTCCCCCACTTCTGGTACAGTTGCGTCGGGGTAAAAACCTTGTGCAGATGGGATTTCCCGTTTGACCCCATCTGTCTTCAGATGAGCCTCCTGGCAGGGAGGAGGCGGGGCGGGCGAGGGGCCACGCCCGGGTCATTTTACAGTAGCAGCCAGGCCCTGGCCCTCAGGTGCTGGGCGCTGCTTGCACCCGGGGGCCTCCCCACAGGCTCGCGCCGCCGGTCAGACGCTTGGGCTTTTGGCAGTCTGCGAAGTAGCTGAGTGTACTTTTAATTTGGATTTCTCAGATGAGCAGGATTGTTTTATTTCCTTATTTATTTGAAAGAGAGAAAGTGTGAGTAGGGAAGGGGGCAGAGAGAGGGGAGAGAGAGAATCTCCAGCAGTCTCCACGCTCTGAGTGCAGAGCCCAGCGTGGGGGTTTCTCTTCTGACTAGGAGAGCCTGACCTGAGCCGAAATCAAGAGTTGGACACTCAACCAGCTGAGCCACCCAGGCGCCCCAGTATTGTCTTTTTTAACACTTAAGGATCCTTCGAGTTTTCTCTACGTACTCTCTCTTTGGTCTTTAATATCAAGTTGAAGTATCCAACTTGCTCAGTGTAACGCACCTTGTGAATACTGATTCCCAGCTGGCCATTTGTTTTTTGATCTCGGTGTGTTTTGCTGTGTGACTGTTACACAAGTGTAGTCACATTCATCACTCGTGTTATTTTGAGTACTTGCTAGGAAACTTTGTCTCATTTACAGATTGTAAGAAACTTCATCTTTTCTCTGGTGCCTGGAAGGGTATTTTTCCTTTTTCGTTCTGGTTATGCTGGGAATTTCTTACGAACAGGGGGAGGTGCAGGTCCAGATTCATCCTTTTCCATATGGCTGTTAGGTCGTCAACACCATTTCTTTTTTTAAAGAGTTTCCCCCCAGTGATTTGAATGGTTGTTTTTGTGAAGTCCTAAATTTTCATACTACCTTGTTTCTGTTTGTGGGCTTTCAGTTCTGGCCTGCTGGCCTGTCTGTCCAGGTACTAATACTCTGCTTTAAGGGGAGTCATTTTCTGTTCCTGTCCTGCCCTCTCAGGGCTTCCCTTGTCCCATTCTGTTCATTGCATTAGGTCTTTTAAGGAGTGTTTTGTGATTTTTTAAATTTTTTTGAAAGAGAGAGAGGGCACAAATGAGTGAGGGGCAGAGAGAGAGAAAGAATCCCGAGGGGCAGAGCGGGAGAGAGAAGTGGGGCTCACCCGACAAGGGGCCCCCGCACTCACCCAGTGCAGGACTCGAACTCTTGAACCATGAGATCATGACCTGAGCTGAAGTCAGATGTTTAATGACTGTGCCCCCAGGCGCCCTGTCCTGTGATTTCTAACACGTCTTGTGTTGGGCTGTGTCTGACTACTTAGCTGCTTTGTCTTGGGGCGGGTGGGGTGGGGGGTGGCTGTTGGAAATGGCCACTCTTGTGCATTCTATCTTCTAACCAGTTGCCATTAGTATAAGATAAAGCTGTTTTGGTGCTGCCCTGACTTCTCCATTACAGACCGTAGACATTTACTAAAGTTGTGGTTTCCCGGGGCTCCTGGAGGCGCCGGCTGTGCCTCTTCCCCGTCCCACCCTTGGGCCTGCTTCCTCGGGCCTCTTCGGTGGCCTGCAGCGGGGCTGGGGGAGGGGCGCGCAGTGCCTGGCCCCGCAGGAACCTGCAGCTTAGTGCCGCTCCCAGTACGGGCTGAGTAGGTGTGCGGGTTTTGTCATGTTACAAGATAACGCACCCATTGATGTTCACATTCTTGCACATTTTCAATCACAAATAGATTTAAATTTCATGGAGATGATCATTTGATTTTTCTTCTTAGATCAGTATTATTACCCCTCAGTGATATGATGAATTATGCAAACCAGTTTCCTCCCTGGTCCATTTTTGGAGCAAATGTTATTTGATTAGAATGTGTAACCAGCTGGTGGTCTGTTTTTCTGTGCTGATTAGGAAGCGAGGGTCTATTATATGGCCTGCAACACGGTATGACGTTTTTGTTTTGAATGTCAGTCATCGGCTATAAGACGGTATTTTGGGGGAAACAGGAAGCTGGCTGATGGGGGAGTTTCTGCTATAACTTTGCTTTTTAAAGTCATCTTAAGTGGCTGTTTTCTGCGCAGACCTGAGAAGACGGCCCTGTGTCCTCCGGGCTCTCTGAGTCCAGGAAGTTGCCTGATTTCTAGCCGTTGGACCCATTGGATAAAGGCTTTGGACTATTTCTATTTTATTTTCTCAGACAAGTTGTCTATTTTAACTGGTGGTAAAAGAGATAGGAAAAAGTTTATTAGGGATATAGGGCTTATGTCTAAAAAAAGAAATAGCCTGGTATTCCAAAAACAAAAACCAATCTGGTCAGTCAGTACGTACCTCCTTTCCTGCCATATCCTGGGAGGGTGTGGACCATCATGGACGTGGAAAACAAGACCGCGTTCTTGAATATTCCTCTCGTGATGGCTTATTGCGCTGAGTAGGTGTTGGAACAAATAAGGACTTCTAACTGACTGGAACAGTGGCACATGTGACACAGGGCCCTGGGAGAGTGTGTTGCCCTTGAACTGTTCCTAGTTTTGAGGTCAGGGTAGGCTTCCCCCAGAACGTGATGTTTAACAGACTGTTCTGAGGGGCAAGCTGGCCCTGGCAGGGAGAATGGCCTTTCAGCCTGGAGAATATTGTGGAGAAATCATGCTTTTTCAGAACCTACAAATATTGTTGTTCGCTCTGCCTCACTTCCTCTTGTAGGCCTCAGCAACTGTTGCCATTCCCAAAGAACACCATCGCTTTGTTATTGGCAAAAATGGAGAGAAACTGCAAGACTTAGAGCTCAAAACTGCAACCAAAATCCAGATCCCACGCCCCGATGATGCCAGCAATCAGATCAGGATCACCGGTACCAAAGAAGGCATCGAGAAAGCACGCCATGAAGTCTTGCTCATCTCCGCCGAGCAGGTGGGGCCAGGTGAGGGCCGGGTGTGTGTGCACGGGCTTCAGCCCAAGGGCTGAGCCTCCACGGCTCTGTTCCGTCCTTTCCAGGACAAACGCGCTGTCGAGAGGCTGGAAGTGGAGAAGGCCTTCCACCCCTTCATCGCTGGGCCTTATAACCGACTTGTTGGTGAGATCATGCAGGAGACAGGGACGCGCATCAACATCCCCCCGCCCAGCGTCAACCGCACAGAGATTGTCTTCACCGGGGAGAAGGAGCAGCTGGCCCAGGCGGTGGCGCGCATCAAGAAGATCTATGAGGAGAAGGTAGCGGTCGGGAAGGGAGGTGGGGACTGTCACCTGAGGGTGTGGCTGAGGTCCAGCCCTAGCCCCTTATCCCGGATGAGTTCGGTTTCCATTCAGTTAGCATATGGGGCTGTTGGGCAGGGAAGAGTGGACAGAGCTTGGATCTGGGCGGCTGGGCTGCTGCGGTGTGGACATAGCACCCAGAGCCGGTCACACGGGGAGCTAGCTGTCAGCGGTGAGCCCCTACCATGGGCTGTGAGGTCGGAACCTCAATCCCTAAGGTGGGGGAGGACTTGTGTCCTCGCTTCTGTGAGCATCCGCTGTTGAGTCTGGGCTTGAGTTAAATTCTCGGGTGATTCTTGTAAGGATGAAACCCAGTTGTTGATCAGAGGAGGTTCTGGGGATTGGCTGGTCCCCGTCTTCACTTGTGAGGGCTCACGAGTACATAAGGCTCTGCATCTTGCTCCCTCCCTCTTTGATGACGGTGCTCTGTCCCCACCTGTTTGTCCCGGGTCCTCCCCTCTGACTCCCCTCTTGCGGGGCTCTTAGAAAAAGAAGACCACGACCATCGCTGTGGAGGTTAAGAAGTCCCAGCACAAGTATGTCATCGGGCCCAAGGGCAACTCCTTACAAGAGATCCTGGAGCGGACGGGCGTGTCTGTGGAGATCCCGCCTTCAGACAGCACCTCGGAGACCGTGATCCTTCGGGGCGAGCCTGAGAAGCTCGGGCAGGCGCTCACTGAAGTCTATGCCAAGGTAACTGCCTCCCAAGAGTGTGTTCCAACTGCCGCACATGAGGCTGGGCTCCGGGTGCAGGGACCGTGTGGCGGGGGGTGTGCGCCCAGCTCTCGGGAGCACAGGCACATGTGAGCTGGACTCCGCCAACCCACTGCTCTGCCGCCCGGTCTCCTAGGCCAACAGTTTCACGGTGTCGTCCGTCTCTGCTCCTTCTTGGCTTCACCGATTCATCATTGGCAAGAAAGGGCAGAACCTGGCCAAGATCACTCAGCAGATGCCCAAGGTGAGGGGCTTCGCGGATGTGTTCCTTTTGAGTTGTTCTTGGTCATGGCCCATGGCTGACACTTGTTGCTATTTATTCTGGGCATGCCTCCGAGGACTGTGGCACAGTTTTTAGAAATCAGTGGCTGTTTGTGATGGTCCGTTTCCATGGTTAGCTGAGGAAGAACAAAATAAAAATTTTAGGATAACTGTCCTTCTTTTGATCTTTTTAATCCGAAGCTATGTGTGTCGTTAGATGCAGTGAATACTTTAGGAAATGTCTCATTTATTAGGGCATAGTCACTTCACAATAGTTACACCTATAAACTTGGAAGAGCCAGTGTGCACTGGTTATGTGAAGTGTGGCGTTATGGCCTTTTCATGCTTTCCCCCTCTGTCCTTGACGTCTTCCCACTCTTCCGGAGGAGGCCACAGCTCCCTGTCAGCTTGTCCTGGATGACTTGCCCGAGAACACACCCATTGTACTATCCTGTTCACACTTGGTTTTCAGTTGACTTCTTAGTTACTTCCCTTAGGCCGGAGTCCTGCTTCACACAAATGCAGCTGCTTCCTGGGCCACTCTCCCTTATTAATGGCCTTGTCACATGTTTCCTTCTTGCCTGGCGTGTCATAAATGGAGACAGGGCTGGCCTTGCCTGGGGACCACCTTCAGGCAGCTCTCTGGATTCAGATTTTCTCCCTTGTCCTCGTCTCGTTGTTTGATTTTTTTTTTTTTTATGTTTATTTTTGAGAGAGAGAAAGAGACAGAGCACGAGCAGGGGAGGGGCAGAGAAAGGGAGACACAGAATCCAAAGCAGGCTCCAGGCTCTGAGCTGTCAGCACAGAACCTGACGTGGGGCTCGAACCCACGAACCGTGAGATCATGACGTGAGCCGAAGTCAGATGCTTAACCAACTGAGCCCCCCAGGCGCCCCCGATACTTGTCTCATTCTTTACGCAAGCAAAGGAGTAGACCTGTAACAGGGAAAGGGATGTTGAGGTGCTTCTCGTCTGTGGTTTGGGTGGTCGGCACATTGTAGAGGATTTCACAGTTCCTGTATTTGGTGAAGCGAAGACAGTTTGATCACAGTATTTAGTACAAAAATAACGGGTGCCCCAGCCGCCCCCTTCAGCTGTGTGTGGTGTCCACGGACGAGCATTCCTTTGAAGCGCCTGGGACTGGCCGCTGTCCCGGGGAAGCACTCCGGGTCCTCAGGACACTGCCGCTGTGCCGTGCCCCCCCGGCCATCTCTTTCTTCCCTGTGATATGGTAGGTTCACATCGAGTTCACAGAAGGTGAGGACAAGATCACTCTGGAAGGCCCCACAGAGGACGTAAATGTGGCCCAGGAACAGATCGAAGCCATGGTCAAAGACCTGGTAAGGGGCCCCTCTGCACGTTGTGGGTGCTGGTGAAATAGGGGCCTGGCTGGGCTGTCCTCCCTTGCCAGTCAGACATCACTGGGTGGGCCTGGGGACACCAGGGGGCCCAGGGGTGAGTAGCGGGTTCTGAAACCGCTAGAAGCTGGCCAAGTCCAGGAGGTTCATGGATGGAGGAGACCTTGTTTTGAAGAAATATCTTTGAAGGGCCCAGAAGCACAGTCTTGGAACAGTGCCCAACGGTTGAGTGACACAACACGGCAACAGCTGCCGCTCCTGGACTCGGGTCCTGGCTGGTGTGGCCTCAAGAGCTGCCCCTGGGCCCGTTCTGCGCCCCCTGCAGGTTACCCGCATGGACTACGTGGAGATCAGCGTGGAGCACAGGTTCCACAGGCACCTCATCGGGAAGAGCGGGGCCAACAGTGAGTGCGGCCCGGGGCTGGGGGGTCGCGCGGCTCCTCCCCCGGCCCCTCCTCGGGCTGTGGGAGTCCGGAGGGGACCCTGACTGTCCTGCTCAGAGTCACAGTGAAGGCCGCCCGCGCCCGACGGGGTGGCGTCCCTGGTTTCCTGGTCACTCTTGGACGGGCTCATGGGCAGAGGGAGGGGTTCCGTCAGGCACGCGGGATCGCAGCAGCGTCGGAGAGCTCTGTCCCATCAGGGGCGCAGGTGTGGTTCCCGCAGCCTGGTGGGTGCGGGCTCTGCCCACCAGAAGGATGTTTCCTCAAACCCACTCCTGGCCTGGTTTACCCCACACCTCACGGTGCTCTCCCTGTCCCTACGTGTCACAGTAGTAGGAGGCGAGAGGGCGGTGCTCGTCCCGGCCTGGGTCCATCCCTAGGTCGCAGGGACCCCAGCCATGTAGACAGTTGCCCTGTGGGTGTGCGCTCTTTGGTTTTTGCCTGATACGGTCCGGTTTTCATGGTAACGTAGGCACGTCAGCCGTGCTGTCTTGGTGTCAGTCTTGTGCTCTGGGGCCCTGTGAGCGCCAGTGAGAGTCACAGACAGAGCACCTCTGGTGGAGCCTCCCTGCACACACTGCTCAAGGCTCACGTGTGCCGCAGCTCGGTTCTGTCGTTCGGTTGTGCGTGTGCGGATGAGCTCTGGGGTGTCGTCACGTAAGAGCGCATACTCTGACGCCAACTGGTGTCTGCGCCCAGGAGCGTGGCGCCTCCAGTGTGGTTCATATTCACTCTGTTCGCTCTCTGGTTCTGTTCCTCACCTTCTCTGTCTTTCCTGATCTGACACCTCCTGCCTTGCTTCTGAGTCCTTGGCTCCTGCCCTGTGTGGCTCCACCCTGGAACGGCGCGTGTCCCTCCCGGCCGTGTGCTCATGGCCCTCCTTAGGAGGAGTCTTCCCCCCTAAGGAGCTTGGGCGAATTGCTGGCCTTGTTTCCAGGGGTAGGGCCTCTCCAGGGTGTGGGGGCCTGGGTCGCTAACCGCAGACCCTGGGCTCTGTCTGCAGGAGGTGACAGAGGGTTTTCAACTTGATTTGTTCTGCGAAGATAGCGTGGTCTTGATGTGGGTCTGAGCTGAGGGTGGGGTCTCTCTTGGCGGCAGCACGGTCTCTGTGGAGCCTGCAGCTGGTCACCAGGAGGCGCTCTTCTCGTCGGCTCATGGAAAGCCTCTGATTTTCAGTGGTGGTCGTTTTTGTTTTTTCGAGAGTAGTTTTGTGACTTAAGAACAGTGGTCCAGTTCCCAAAGTTGTTTCTACGTTAGAAACCCCTGGGATCTGTTAAGTGTCCTAAAGCTCCAGCCATACCGCGGGCCAGCGAAACCTCCCCACGGAGCTGTGCGTCCTGTGACACACTCAGGGTGCCGCTGGCCTGGCCCATCCAGGTGATGACCACGCACGGCACGTGTGAGAGTGGAGGGCCTTGTACTGGAGGCTGAACCACCCCCTTTGCTTGTAGGGTGACCGGTGACAGTATTTGGGGCTTGAGTCCTATTCTGCCAGGTGGTTAATCACTAGCGGAACATAACCGATCCGAGTCTAAAACGTGTTTCTTCTTGTGTTCTTCAGTAAACAGAATCAAAGACCAGTACAAGGTGTCTGTGCGCATCCCTCCCGACAGTGAGAAGAGCAACCTCATCCGCATTGAGGGGGACCCGCAGGGCGTGCAGCAGGCCAAGCGGGAACTGCTGGAGCTCGCCTCGCGGATGGTGAGACCCCGCGGCCAGGCTCTGGTGGGCGTTGGGGGGGCGCCTGTGCTCCGTGGAGCGCAGGACTCATGCGCCTTCAGAGTGGCTCTGACCTGCTGGGGCTCCGGCGCTGTGCTGGAGGCCGTGCAGCAGGGTTTCCGGCCTCGGCCACACCCCGGAGTCTGCGATGCTTTGAGCTCCAACTCCAGGGACTGTGATGGATTTTCTGGATTCTCAGAAGCACCCAGGTGACTCCCACGTGCAGCCAAGGTTGAAAACCTCTGCTCTGTGCTTGTCCACAACTCTAGAGGCTGGCAGGGGCTTTTCCCTGCTGCTGGACTGACGTCCTGCACCCCCCGGCTAAGCTGCCAGCGCCGGTGTGTTTCTCCTGATTGTGTGAGTCGGACACGATAGCCAGGCGGCCGTGATTGTCGGTTTGGGCCGCACGTAAGAGTCCCCGGGACGCCTTCCAGCATCCAGAGGAGGCACAGGCCGCATGGGCGCTTGCAGGTCATCAGGGCATCCCTTGGTCTGGGGTGTCTGGTGCCTCTGGGATCACTGGACCTTTGTGTCTCTGTCGGCCTGGTGCCGGTCTGACCCAGCATCTCCCCCAAGGTCTTCTGAGTGGTTAGCTGCCATTGCTTTTCCTTTATTCTGCCTGTTTATTCTTTTCTATTTTTTCTTGTGGCGTTTTAGTGAGAATGCTGGGGTAGGTGAGAACCAGACCACGCAGGTTTACTGCCTAGTGTTGAATCATTCTTAATTATCCACATGGGGCGGTTGTTCGAACCACTCGGTGTTCTGGAAGGATCCGTGCCCTCGGGGCGCTGTGCCCCGGGGTCTCTCGTTCTTGTCCGCGTGGGTTGAGGCCACCGTGCTGGCACTTGGGGCGGAGGGGTCCTGCGCTCAGCCGTGGAACTGTGCTTCGTTCAGGGGACGGTGCCCGGCCCCTGTTGCTGGAGCGCGGGCCCTTGTGGGCGCTGTGCCGGCGCCACGGGGCTGCCCGGGCCCCGGGCGCCCCTGCCGCTAACGCGCCCCCACACCGGGTTCCAGGAGAACGAGCGCACCAGGGACCTTGTCATCGAGCAGCGGTTCCACCGCACCATCATCGGCCAGAAGGGCGAGCGGGTCCGGGAGATCCGTGACAAGTTCCCGGAGGTAAGGGCTCCCCAGCGGCGTCTGGGGTCCTCTAGGAGGGAGTGACTGGCACTGCTCTGGAATCCAGTCGTTACCAGTAACTGAACTTGAACTTGTGATGGTTTCTTCCAGGTTATCATCAACTTTCCAGACCCAGCGCAAAAAAGTGACATCGTCCAACTCCGAGGGCCCAAGAATGAGGTGGAAAAATGCACCAAGTACATGCAGAAAATGGTGGCAGACCTGGTAGGGGCGCTTTCCTCCTCGGTTGTGGCAGCGTGAGTGCAGTGGAGAGATCTGGGGGGGTCGCAGCAGAACCTCTGCTTGGGGGGCACACGGGGCCAGGACTGGTCTCCCATCCCTATGGTGACGCCGTCCCTAGAAGCCCCGCGTGCTAGGCTGGCAGAAGTCCGTGTTCCATGGAATTCCAGTGGGATGCCAGGCTCCTTGTGTCCTGGAGGGGCCTTCGGCCACGTAGGTAAACTGTGCCGTCTGGTGTACAGGTGTTACAGGGGGTCATCTGTTGACTGGTTACCTTCCTGAGAGCGGGAATGGGAACAGGTGGTTTGGAACGTGCCGAGGGTGCTTACTGATGCGAGGGCTCAGGTGGCCTCGTGCTCTCTTTGGTCCCTCATGGGGCTTGGCCCGAACTCACAGCTGACTCGTTCGCTGATGGGGGGCTTCCGGCCCTGAGCGCGTTCACGCTGCCCTGGAGCGGCGGGATTTCCGAGGGTGGCGGGATCTGTGTGTCACCTTGAGGTGTGCTCCGGGCTGACCTCTCCCGGCCTGGTGTCCTGGCCTCCGCTGGCCCTGGGCCAGCTCTGGCCCTGGAGGTGGCCGGAACCCCCTCGTGCCCAGAGTGTCAGTTGAAGATACCCGGCACACTCCGTGGCAGAACTTGCATCAGCAGATATGTTGCGAGCCACTTTTTACAAAGGTGGCTTTGCGTCAGTCAGTTGAAGCTTGCCCCGATAGCTAGCTGCTGAGTAAGTTGTCCCCCCCCCACCCCCCATTCTCTTGATAAGCCTCTGGAGGTCAGAGGTCAGAGAGCAGGAGACCAGGAGGATCCAAGTGTGTGTTTTCCCATAAGGAATCCTGTCATTTCCTGCTCTTTGGCGGAGGATGGGATGCCTCCCTCTCCAGTGTGCTGGCTAAGTGTGCATCCTTTCTGTTTCTAAGGTGGAAAACAGTTACTCCATTTCTGTTCCGATCTTCAAACAATTTCACAAGAACATCATTGGGAAAGGAGGCGCAAACATTAAAAAGGTGACCGGCCGGCTTGTCCCCTGAACCTTGGCCTTCCTCAGCCTGCCCCTGAAGCCCCGGGCCTTTCTGGCGTAACCTCGAAGGAGGGAGCCCTACTGCCCCGTCCCGGGCTGCAGCTGTCTCACCTAGGAGGTCTGCTGCTCACAGGGTCCCGTCTGCTTGTAGATCCGAGAAGAAAGCAACACTAAGATCGACCTTCCAGCAGAGAACAGCAATTCAGAGACCATCATCATCACAGGCAAGCGAGCCAACTGTGAGGCTGCCCGGAGCCGCATCCTGTCCATCCAGAAAGACCTGGTAATGGGGTGTTTGGTGACAGGGCCCTAGCCTGCGGTTCTGGCCCGCGGGCTCGGGCAGGCCGGCCCCCCATCCCCACAGCAGCGCCGGCCTCTGAGCAGCACGTCCCGACAGATCCGAGCAGGCGCACTGGACTCAAGTGCTTAGAAATCATGTCCTGAGGGCCTTGCGATAATGTTTTCTCAGTTTCTGAAAAATTAACATATAAAAAACTGCACGTTGAAAGTGCGCACTTCAGTGAGTTATGACGTGTACGTCCACGGGGTCCTGGCTCCTGACAGGCTTTAAGTGACTTAGGCCGTGTCTGGGGGTCCTCTTCCTCGTGTCTTGGAGTTCATTGAGCTCTCTCGGATGTGTGAGTTTAGCATCGTCATCCAATTTGGAAAAAATGGGGTCACTTTTTGAATATTTTTTTTCTGTCCCTCTTTTTAGGGACTCCAGTTACCTGGTGACAGGCAGCTTGACAGTGTCCTGTGGTTAACTCGTGTGCCCCTTACCTGCGTGGGAAGGAGAAGTGGTCTTGTTTGCTTTGAGTTCAGTACTTTGCGCAGCGTCTGACCTGCCTGTCTCCTCGTGTGCTTGTCACCTTGGACCTTTTCACTTGTGAGGCTTCAGTTGGAATATTGGTGTTTTTACATTTGACAGGCTTGGTCTTTCCTTTGCCTTTTTGACCACATGGAGGGTCGTGAAAATGCCTGTCGTAGTCTTATCCACCCCCTTTGGTTCTTTGTTTTTATTATTTTTTTAACTTGAGGTGGGGATGCAGAGGGAGGAAGAGAGACAGACAGACAGAGTCCCAAGCAGGCTCCACGGCCCGGCGTGGAGCTCCACGTGGGGCTTGGTACCGGGACCGTGAGATCACGGCCTGAGCTGAAACCCAGAGCGGGTGCTCGCCTGGCCCCCCGGAGCCCCTCCACCCCCCGGTTCTAATGTCCGTGTCATTTCTGGGCTGTTTTCTGTTCTTTTCTCACTGAGGGCGTTTGTCTCCGCGTATGTGCTCTGTTTCCGCTGGAGGCCAGAAGTTGTGAGGGTTATTTCGTTGGATGCCGGATAGTTTTGCATTCCTGTACATGTCTTTCAGCTTCATTACTTTGAAATACTTTGCTCCTTTGCGGACTCTCTCGAGACACATGAGGCGGGCTCACAGCAGCGCCTCTTCTGGGGCCTTCCCTCCCGCTGCCGAGGCAAGGCCTTGCTGCGCCGCGTCCCAGCCCGTGTGCGGCGGGCCGCTCTCCCCAGGCCTTGGCCCTTCCCCTGCACACGTCAGCATGGGAGCAGCGTCTGGTCCATGGGGGCTCCTGCCTCCACGCTGCTCCCTGCCCTTGGGCTCTGACCTGCCGGCCCCGGGGGCTGGGGCTACTCAGACCGTCGGCTCTGTGTCCTCAGCGCGGGGACTCGGCCGGGGCAGTCGTCAGACTCCCCTTGTTTGCTCCCGGTGTCCAGTGTCTCGAACACCATGGCCGCCTCGTGGGGGCAGACCTGGTCCTTGTGTGACGCTGACTGGAGGCCGGAGAGGTGCTGCTGGCGTTTCCGCAGGAAGAGCAGCCCGTGGGCGTCTCGGCTGTGTGTCTGCTTGGGCACCAGGAGAGCCGAAGGAGGAAAGCCCTGGTTGACGGTGTGACCTGGAGGCTTCCCTTCCCCGCCCCACACCTATGTGCACACACCCCCACGTGCACACGGGCTCTGGGCCTCTGTGCGGTGGGCGTGCTGTCCTGTGTCCCGCCCCTTACGGACCGTGTGTGATTCCAGGCCAACATCGCCGAGGTGGAGGTGTCCATCCCCGCCAGGCTGCACAACTCCCTCATCGGCACGAAGGGCCGCCTGATCCGCTCCATCATGGAGGAGTGTGGCGGGGTGCACATCCACTTCCCCGTGGAGGGCTCGGGGAGCGACACGGTTGTCATCAGGGGTCCCGCCTCGGATGTGGAGAAGGCCAAGAAGCAGCTCCTGCACCTGGCGGAGGAGAAGGTGAGCCCCACGCCCGGGAGTGACGGCGCCGTGTCTGTCCCTCGCTGGAAACCCCTGTCCTGTCTCTGGGGTCGCCGTCGCTGAGCAAGGGGTCTTGGCCGGTCGAGTGCCTACCCATCCGAGGTAGAGAAGCTGCTGTTCATCGTGCTGGGTTTTTTGTGAGTAGGATGCATAGACCATAAGACCCCTCCTCTGAGTTTGCCGAGCATGCACACGCTCGCCTGACCACCACTGTAGCGACACTGTCTTGGCCACCACCCTTAAGGTCCTGCACTGAATCGCCTTGGCCCCCTGGTCAAAACCCACACGTGGGTCTGTTGCTGGCCTCTGCTGTGTCCTAGCAGCGCCATAGGGAACTGACCTCTCAGGAATTCAGCCTTCCGGTCTGTTTTCAGTCTTTGATTTTTCTTTGGTGCCTTGTAGCATTCAGCATGGTGTTCTTGTTCGTGTTGTGTTCAATTCATAGCCTCACTATTTTGCTTTGTAGCGTTGTTGTTAATGGTACTGTTTAATTCGTTTCAATTCCCAGCTACTGTCACGTACTGAAACATACTTAATTTTTTTATGTTGGCTTTGCGTTATACATCTGTTTTAAAGTTCAATTATTAGTTCCAGTAGCTTTTTTTGTGGAGTCTTGTGAGTTTTATGTGTAAAACACATCTTTGCATAGACGGCTGGCTTTCCTTCTGATCCACACGCCCAGGCCTCGCTGTGATGTTGTCACAGCGGAGCAGCGGGGAGGGAGCACAGCCTCGCCTCGCTGGTGACCTTTGGGGAAAGTGCTCAGTCCTTCACCCTGAAGTGGCAGGAGCGCTGTGGGTCTTCGCGGATGCTCACTGTCAGGTTGAGGGAGTTCCCGTCTGTTACCAGTTTGCTCAGACTTGCTGTGCGAACAGGTGTTGGGTTTTGTAGGATTTTTCTGTATCTGTTGACACGGGAGCATGGTTTTTCTCTTTCTAAACATACGTGTTAGATTTTTTAAAGTTTTTTCCTTTATTTATTTTTAGTATTTATTTGTGGGGGGAACAGAGAGAGAGGTTAGAGAGAATTCCAAGCAGGCTTTGTACTGTCAGTGCAGAGCCCAACACAGGGCTTGATCTCACGAACTGTGAGATCACGACTGGAGCCAAAATCAAGAGTTGGGCGCTTCAACGACTGAGCCACCCAGGTGCCCCTAGCGGTTGTTTTTTGTTTGTTCCTTTAATGTTTAACCAAGCTTGTGTTTCTGGGGTGACCCTGCATGGCTTAGATATGTTTATTACCCTTGATCACATTGCTGAGCTGGGCTTGCTTTCTCCTTAGCTTTTTTTTTTTTTTTTTTTAATTATTTTTGAGAGAGACAGAGTGCAAGTGGGGGCAGGAGGAGCAGAGAGAGAGGGAGACACAGAATCTGAAGCAGCTCCAGGCTCCGAGCTGTCAGCACGGAGCCCGACACGGGGCTCGAACTCATGAACTATGAGATCATGACCTGCGCTGAAGTCGGACACCTAACTGACTGAGCCACCCAGATGCCCTTGCTCATAAGTGTTTTAATAACGGTGCTAATTGCCAATGCGTTCATCTGAAAAATAGAAAATTCTCTCGGGTGTTTTGTGAAACCAGCATTTGAAAAATAACAGAAGTCACTTGTTTATTACGGTTCACGTGCTGGCAGGCCCTCCTTTATTCCCCGTTGTTTCTTCATACCTGCGGGCCGGGATTCCGGTTACAGGGAAGGAGGGGAAGCAGTGTGTGCATCCGAGCCGGCCTGGCAGGGGTGTATGCTCCAGCTGAATCTGCCAGAGGCCCTGGCACCCTCAACAAGGTCACAGTGTCGGGGCCTTTGCTGGGCCCTGGCTTCTTGGTGCCAGACTAGGGCCTTGCTTGGCTTCGGTCTCCCCGAGATTGAGATGGGGTCCTTCCTGTTGGCGTGTAGGCTCCTCTGTGGCGGGACGTCGCACTCCGCTTGACCTGGGAGGAGGGAGGGTGCCGTGGGCTTGCTTGCTGTGCAGCTGCCCCCCACTTCCCTAGCACCCCGAGGCCACACTTGCCAAGTTCCCTTTGTGGAAGGAGAGTGGCTGGCGGGAGTTGGGTCAGTTTGGGGAAGCGGCGGGCCCGGGCTCTCTATCCACATGTTCTCAGCCGTCTCCGTGTCTCTGGTCGCGGCCGGGGGGGCGGGGTAGGAACTTCCTGTCTGCGAGTCCATCCGTTAGTTTTGGTGAGGCTTGATTAGCCCCACACTGTTGTTCTCTGGGCCCCCTTCTCACCTGCGCAGGGGACCAGGCAAGTAGCATCAGGCCAGTGTATCTGCGGTTGGTTTCCACAGCAAACCAAGAGTTTCACCGTGGACATCCGCGCCAAGCCAGAGTACCACAAGTTCCTCATTGGCAAAGGCGGTGGCAAGATCCGCAAGGTGCGCGACAGCACCGGAGCCCGCATCATATTCCCAACGGCTGAGGACAAGGATCAGGACCTGATCACCATCATAGGGAAGGAGGATGCCGTGAGGGAGGCACAGAAGGAGCTGGAGGCCCTGATCCAGAACCTGGTGAGGCCCGGTGGGAACTTCGCCTCGGTTGTCCCTGCTGTGAGGCGTGGCCGGCACGAGCCCTCTGCTTCTCCCTCCCCTCGATGCCGCAGGACAATGTGGTGGAGGACTGCATGCTGGTGGACCCCAGGCACCACCGCCATTTTGTCATCCGACGAGGCCAGGTCCTGCGGGAGATTGCCGAAGAGTACGGTGGGGTGATGGTGAGCTTCCCGCGCTCTGGCACGCAGAGCGATAAGGTCACCCTCAAGGGCGCCAAGGACTGTGTGGAGGCGGCCAAGAAGCGCATTCAGGAGATCATCGAGGACCTGGTAGGTGCCTGGGAGGGGGCGGGGCCCGCAGACTGGGGCTCTCGGGCTCTCGGGCTCTCAGGCTCTCGGCCTCTCCGGCTTTATTCCTGACCTTCCTGACCGTCAGGATACGCCCTTGAGCAGCAGCTGCTAAGAACATGTTGTGGAATGCAGTCCGTGCAAGGAACCGGCTTCCTCCTCTGCCTCTTTCCCAGTGGGAAGGGGACAGCGGGGCTGGGTGTGTCGCAGTGACCGCACCTGGAAGTGGGTGGGGTTTTCTAAACTCGCCCTCAGAGAGCTTCACCCTCCTCCAGGCCTCTTCCCGGCCCTCCCCTGCTGGGGCTTTGGAAGTACTGACCTGGCCTTTAAGCCCAACGCCTCCTCGTGGAGAGTCCCCGAGCACAGCATTTAGACAGTGCCACGTGCTTTGTGCTGAGGGCGGGGGCTTTGCGCACACTCTGGGTGGCGGCGAGCTCCGCTGCCGTTTTGTGCAGACAGGCCATCAGTACTTTCTTCGTCTTCGGGAGACGAGGCCTCCCCGGCGGTCCTGGCCCAGGCCCTCCCTCTGTCCACCCTGTTGTGTTTTGGGCACTTGCGGGGGTTGGGGGGGGGGAACACATGTGCCCCTGGGAGTCTTTGTAGAGAATTGAATGGAAGCTGGTGAAAATATGCATTGAGCCTAAGCAATTAACTTTTGCCTTTATTTTTTTCTTTCCTGCTGTGCCCCTCCCCCTCCAGGAAGCCCAGGTGACCATAGAGTGTGCCATACCCCAGAAGTTCCATCGATCCGTCATGGGTCCCAAAGGTTCCCGAATCCAGCAGATTACTCGGGACTATAACGTTCAGATTAAATTCCCAGACAGAGAGGAGAACCCAGGTGGGTCTCAGCGGGGAGCTCTGTGCTGAGTGGGGAGCGAAGAGGTGTGTGAATGGACCCGGCCGGGGGGGGGGGGGGGGGGGGGGGGGGCGGGCAGGTGGCCGTCACACGCGCTGCCTCGCGCTTCAGCGCTGGCATGCTGCTGGAGCACTGGTGCCCCAGGTGACCGAGCGTCCAGAGGCTTGTGGCCGGCGATGGGGCCTCTGAAACGGGGGTTCGGTTCAGAGGCTACTTGCAGATCCCAAGTGGTGTGTGTGATGGAGCTGCTCCCGCTCTGCACCGCCGCTGCCCCTCCCTCAGCACCCCTACCTGCCAGGTCTTGTCCCCCGTGAGGCAGGCAACTCCGGGGGCCTGCTTGTCACCTGGTTCTGCCTGTGTCCCGGGGACAGGGTGGGGGGTGGTCAGGCAGTCCAGAGGTTTCTGGGCCCGGGGGTCAGTGAGAGCAGCGTCCGGCCTGCGTGTCCAACCTCACGTGGCCCCCCAGCTGGGTCGTAGCCCAGGGTGCTGTCTCCTGACTGGTGTGCTTGGCGACCGACCCTGCAGCCTCCTGGGTCCCCTCCGGAGCCTCTTGCAGCCCCTGAAGCTCTGGTCTCAGAACACAGGCTGTTTGGGGCACGTTTGAAGGGACGTTATACTGGATGAAGATGGACTTCCTGTGCTCGTTACTGAGATTCAGCCCCTCCCGTCCGCACCCCCCCTTTCTACGCGCACAGTAGTTGTTTCTGCGACGCTGGAGTAGAACTCAGGCTTCTCCCGTCTGTAGTGGACACTTTCTAAGAATGAGGATGTTTTCTTAACCCCATTTGAGAACTGTGGCACGTCCTCCAGGGCGCGCAGCTAGAGCGCACTGTGGGCTGGCGCCCAGTTCGTGGTCGATGTGCCTGTCTTGTCCGTGCAGACAGGTGCGCAGCACCCACCTCTTAGCCCAGGTCGGTGCAGCACCGCCCCTGCAGGCCGCCCTTGCTTTTGGGTTTGCGTGCCCACCTGGTGCCCCGCCAGCCCACGCCTGTGTTTGTTTCATGCCCCTTCGCTCCTGAGGCTTGCCCGCCTCCTGACTTAAGATGCTTGTGCAGGCTTCCCGCTCCCTGCGCCGCCTCGCCTGCCCCTCCCTGCTGCCCCGTCCTAGCCTGGGGCGCAGTCTCAGGCCCCTTGCCCTCAGGGCCGTCCCAGCCTCCCAGGTAGCCTGCGCTGCCCGAGTGGAGGAAGGCGTGCTCCCGGCTCCTGGCCTCTCGTTGTGAGCCCCCCCCCCACTGCCCCCCAGGCCGGTCCGCCCCCCTCTCCCACCGGGACTCTGAGCTGTCCCTGCCCTTCTCCAGGTCACAGTGTGGAGCCGCCAGTCCAGGAGAATGGTGACGATGCTGGGGACGGGAGGGACACCAAAGACATCGACCCTGGCTCCCCGAGGAGGTGTGACATCATCATCATCTCTGGCCGGAAGGAGAAGTGTGAGGCTGCCAAGGAAGCCCTCGAGGTGGGTGTGCCCTCAGGCGGCTTGTGCCTGGACCTTGTCCTGGGGGGCGGGGGGGGTGGGGGGTGCGCGAACACTGAACCGGCAGGTTTCTGTGACCGCAGAGGCAACGGGACCCGCAGCCTCTGTGGCGCCTCCATCTCAGGCTTGTGAGGAGGAGTCCCCTGCGCGGGCGGCACCTGCCTGAGAGCCAGCCCCCCGTTGGGCCCTGCTCTGAATGCCGCGTTGCACGGCGCAGGACCACGCTCGGGGGGGTGGCCAGGCGAGAGACAGACAGGCCGCGCGTCAGGGGTGGTTACGAACGGCGGAGTGTGGAGCCGAGGGGGTGTCGGGAGGGGGTCAGGGGCTAGCGTGGAGACAGAGCGGGGGAGCCGGTGTCCCCACGCTGTTACCCAAGCGACCCACACAGGCGTGGCCACAGCCCATCCCTGACGTGAGGCCGGCTTCCGCGCCTGAGCCCCACCAGTCCCCGCCAGTTCCTCTGTTCCTCCCGGATTTGCTGCGTTTCTGTTCAGGGCCTGCCACGGTTAGGAGCATAGGCTTGACACGAGGGCCAGGATGTTTGCTCTGGTGCCCTTACCTTAAACAGTGGATTCTGGGTTCTTTTCCTGCGTTCCCTGTTGAGTTAAAAGTCTTGGTGAAGTCCTCACTCAAGGCAGAGCATTATGGAAGGTTCCGGGAAGCACCTTGTAATTCTCACAGGGTCTCTGGCTCGCTGCCGGCAGCTCTCAGGCCCGACCCTTCTTCCCTGCAGGCGCTGGTCCCCGTCACCATCGAAGTGGAGGTGCCCTTTGACCTTCACCGGTACATCATTGGGCAGAAGGGGAGCGGGATCCGAAAGATGATGGACGAGTTTGAGGTACCTGGATTCGGGGTCTTTCCCTGGGAGCCAGTGTTGGGGGCGAGCCCTCCCTCGGGCCCCCGGCGGCTCAGCCCCCTTGGCGATGCGCCTCTTCCTGCCCGAGCCGGGCAGCCCCGTTCCTGGTGCGGGGCCCCTGCCCACATCGGCTCTGTTCGCATCTCCGCGCAGGTGAACATCCACGTCCCGGCGCCGGAACTGCAGTCTGACATCATTGCCATCACCGGGCTCGCGGCGAATCTGGACCGGGCCAAGGCCGGGCTGCTGGAGCGTGTGAGGGAGCTGCAGGCCGAGCAGGAGGACCGGGTGGGTGGCCCCCAGAGCCGCGGTCCCCGCCGCCCAGGAAGCCTCCCCCAGACGCGGCGCTGTGGGCGGTAACGTAATGGCGGCAGAGTTAGGTCTCCTGGTACTCAGCACCTTTCCCTGCCGGGTAGCGGTGGCCCCAGTCTGACGGGAAAGGTACGGTGGGAGAGGCCGGGGAGCTGTTGCCAGGAAAGACCCCCCCCGGATGTGAGTGTTGTGGTCCAGGGTGGGCGTCTGCGGGCCCATCGGGGTCCCACCTCGCCTCTCTGGAGAGCTGGCACCCGAAGGGCCTCCCGAGTGCTCGGCGAGGCTGGGTGTCCCGAGCACGGAAGCCCTGCTGTAGATTCTGTGGGGAATGAGCTGCCCGCTTGGGGGGACGACTTTCTGGGGTGGTGACGGGGTAGGGCCCGGAGCCCTCCTGCGCCTGGCGCCTGTTCCCGTGCTCTGCCCTCTGGCCATAGACGTCCCAGGCTGGCTGTGCTTCCTTAAGGAAGGACTTCTGTGCTCTCTTTTCCTTCTGACCTGGTTTTGTGCCCCAGCCCTTAACGACCCCAGGGTGTGGTTATGCTTCCTGGTCACGTCCCCATTAAACCAGTTAGAGAGCCAGCTCCAAGGTCACCGTGCGAGAAGCCAGCCTTGTCCGCGCCTGAACGGCCCTCTCGTAAAGGGTCTGCGCGCTCGGTTTCGGGTCCGTCTTTGAGCTGGCGCTGCGCGGTGCCACCGAGGCTAACGGAAAGCGGGTCATTTTGGTCACTGAGGATACGTTTGGGGTCAAAGAGTGGGGTTGGCATGTTGGCCGCACATGGAGAAGGTCAAGCCTGAACTCCACCCTTGTCTCATCTGCAGGCTTTAAGGAGCTTTAAGCTGAGTGTCACTGTGGACCCCAAATACCATCCCAAAATTATTGGGAGGAAAGGGACAGTGATTACTCAGATCCGCTTGGAACATGACGTGAACATCCAGTTTCCCGATAAGGATGACGGGAACCAGGTAAGAATGACCGCTCGGGTCAGGCTCCGTTGCTGGGACGCTCTGGGGCAGGTGGACTCTCGACCCTCATCCTGGCCTGGGGGCAGTGAGAGGGCGAGTGTGGGGCGTGCCCGCGGGTGCGGGGAGAGAGGCTGGAGTGCAGAGGGGCAGCTCTCTGCGGCTCCGGCTCTGGGCTCGGGCCCCCTCTCTCCGTCTGCGCCGGCTGGGCGAGGTCTCCCTGGGCGCTTGCGCTGCGTGAGCTCGGCACGTTTCTCCGCACCCACCTGGCCGATGCTGGTAGGCAGGCTGCGGCTCTGGCTGGGGGCTTCCCACACTTGTACCCACAGGCGCCGTCGTCCAGAGGGCGCCCTCCCCTGCCTGCCACACCCCTGCCCGTCTTCCTCTCTGCTCCCGTCGGGGCCCCTTCAGCACAGCACTGCCCAGCGCGGGAGCCTCAGTCTCTCCCTGCGTCTCCTGCGGTGGCACACGGCCAGGCGCCCAGAAATGGTTCGCTAGAACCTTCTGGTCAGCAAATCTCAACACGCCTCTGCAGACCCTGGCCTTTCCAGCTGTGTCCATGCGCTGTGCCCGGCTGCCTGCTCTATACCTTCCTTCCCTGCGCAGCCCAAGTCTGTAACCCCCACACGTAAGCCGAGTTCAGAAAGGCAGGCGGACCTGCGTCTCCTGCCTGGTCCGGACCTTCCCCAGGCGCGTCCTTCCGTTCCCGCTGCATTTTTAACATGTTTATGCTCCTGATCTTTCTTACTCTAATTTGTGGTTTTTGTTCTGTTTGAGTGAGTTCTATGCCTAGCGTGAGGCTTGAACTCATGACCCTGAGGTCCAGAGTTGCCTGCTTTTCTGACCAAGCCAGCCAGGAGCCCCTTTAATTTTTGATGTTTAATTCTGAGAATTCAGCTCCTATAAAGTTTTCATTTTCACTACCTTTTATTTCTTCCAACTTTCCCAAGTAACTTGCATTTTTTCAAACCTCATTTGGGGTTCAGACCACTTGGGCTAACGTCTCACGAGCCGAGTAGGGTCGGGCAGCCACGTGATTTTGACTCGCAGCTTTTTCCTGTGAGAATTCTGCTTCCATTTGCAGTCTCTTCTGTCCTGTGTCTGCCTTTGGTGCAGCACTCGCAGCTGCTGGCGGGTCTGGATGCTGCTGGCGGGTTCTGGGCACAGCCCGCCGCCCCCCCACCCTTCCATCTGTGCTGTGGTGTGGCCTGCCGCTCCTCTGCCGTCTCCTGGCTCTTTCTGGCCTCTCTTCTAGGCAGACCTCTAAGCATCCACTTTCTCTGGTCCTTTTCTGTTCCATTCTTTCGTGGGTGTGAGATTTTCTCTTAAAGAATATACGTCTGTGTGTGTTGTGTTTGTTGCACTCTTGAGTCGTGTGTTGGCTCTGCTGGCACTGCGCACGTGTGGTGCTGTCCCCTGTCCGTGTGCGGTAGAAGGGGAGTGCTGGGCTGGGGCGTGCTGGGGCCGCACGGTCCTGGCCAGTGTCTGGCACCTTCTCTCCAGGTGGGCCTGTCTCCACCGAGACGCCTCCAGATGCGGGGCCCGAGGTGACCCTCCCCGGGGCCCGTGTGGCCCTTGACACAGCTCCGTCTTGCCTGCAGCCATGTCTGTGGGAGACGTCCTTTTCCCACACGTGTCCGGCCGGGAAGGGGGGGGCAGGAGCTACTGGGCATTGCTGACCTGTTCTAAGTCCGCTTCTGGCGTTCTCTTCCGTCTTTTCTCCCTTCTGAGCGGGTCAGCGTTTCCCCTCCAGGTGAGCTCTGCCTCTTGCCACCTCACGGAGCTGCACCTGCCGGCTTGAGGCTCCGGCCCTGAATCTCTAGGGGGCGTCCCCCCTTCTGACAGGGTTCTCCTCTCTTAGCCCCAGGACCAAATCACCATCACAGGGTATGAAAAGAATACAGAGGCCGCCCGGGACGCCATATTGAAAATCGTGGGTGAGCTCGAGCAGATGGTTTCCGAGGACGTCCCGCTGGACCACCGTGTTCACGCCCGCATCATTGGTGCCCGTGGAAAAGCCATCCGCAAAATAATGGACGAATTCAAGGTGGGTCCCCAACCCGCCAACTGTGAAGGGCGCCGTGAAGTCCTGGAAGCCTGGTAGGTGCAGTGGGGTGCGCGCTTCCCACTCCGCGGGGAGGGGGGTCTTCTTGGGGCCTCAGGCCTCCCTGCCTCGGCCGGTGACCGCCCTCGGGGTCTGGAACAGGAGCCCTCTGAGGCTCAGGTGCCCGTTCTCGAGTTGGTGAGGTTGTGTGGAGCTCCCAGCTGTGCGTAGAGTTGACCCCACACTGGGCCGCGGACGGTGGCATCCCCTCAGTGCGTCAGGGTTCCGTGTGTGTCGTGACGTGCTGGCTCTGACCTCAGACGTACAGGACCTCTGCGTCCTGAACACGAGGTTCGCCTGGGAAAGCTTCCCTGCAGGCCCGCCATTCCCAGCCACACGTAACCGTGACCCTTGGTCCAGAAACCGCGGTGCAGGGTCCACACTACGTCAGCGGCCGTGTGTACTCCCCTTCCAGGTGGACATCCGCTTCCCGCAGAGCGGGGCCCCGGACCCCAACTGCGTCACTGTGACGGGGCTCCCGGAGAACGTGGAAGAGGCCATCGACCACATTCTCAACCTGGAGGAGGAATACGTGAGTCCTGGGGGAGGGGCGGTGGCAGGCCTTGCCCCGTGGCACCCCGCCTCCAGCCGGCCTGGGGTGGCAGCGAGGCCGCGTGCGTCTGCCGCCAGAGGCACGCGGGGGGCAGGCTGTCCCCTGAGCCAGCCCTGCACGCTGGAGCAAGGCAGGCGCGGTCGTCGTGCGTGTGTGCCGCACACTGACGCCACGCCTCGTGCCCACAGCTGGCTGACGTGGTCGACAGCGAGGCGCTGCAGGTGTACATGAAGCCACCAGCCCATGAGGAGTCCAAGGCGCCGTCCAAGGGCTTTGTGGTGCGGGATGCTCCCTGGACCGCCAGCAGCAGCGACAAGGTCAGACCGTGCAGGGTGTGCCGTGGGGTGGGGGGGAGGGGGGGACCTTTCCCTGGGAAGCTGCCCCCGCGGGGCCTCCCAGACTGAGGCCGCGTGCCCTCTCGCCCCTGCAGGCTCCAGATATGAGCAGCTCGGAAGAATTTCCTAGCTTTGGGGCTCAGGTGGCCCCCAAGACCCTGCCGTGGGGCCCCAAGCGATAATGATCCAAAAGCAGAAACCTCTCCAGCCTGCTGACCCGAACCCCACCACCACACACGGTTTGTCTCAATCCGACCCGGCGGCTGGAGCCTCCATAAGTCGTTGACGCTTACCCCTCCCCGAGGTCTCGCAGTGAAGCCGGGCGCGCCAGCACCCTGCGTGCGCTCGGGACCTGCTCCCTGACACCTTCACTCTGGGACGGCTCTCCGCCGTCGTGAACACTAACCGAGGTAATTGGACATTTCCCTATAAGCGTCCTGGCTCATCCAGCATGTCCGTCAGGCTCTGGCCTCCGCAAGGAGAGCGCCACAGCTGTGGCTGAGCCTACTTCCTGTGTCATGACCTCAGGAAATAAATTTCCTTGACTTTATAAAAGCCAAAACGTTTGCCCTCTTCCTTTCCTCCCTCTGCCTGCCGTCCAGACCCTCCTTGTAGAATGCAGTCCACCTTGCAGCTGCCTCACCCCCCCCTTAGCCCAGACCCACAGGGTGGGAAGGCCCGGTTTGCACGCTGGGAGCGCCCGGGCCGAAGGAGAGCCACGGCAGAGCCAGAGGGGGCCAGAGAGGCGGCGGGGTGGCCGGGTTCTCGGGCCGTCTGGGCCTCAAGCACGTTGGGGACGGAAAGCACCCGAGTGTCTCCACCCCCAAGCGTGGTGAGCAAAGCCCGCAGGTGGGGCCACACGTCTCCGTCTCGGCCTGTGGCGGCCCGCTGTGGCGCGGTGGAGACCAACTGCTCCTTTGTGCCCCTCCCCACCCCAGGTGCCCAGTGGCCTCCTTTCTACCTCAGAGCCAGTGTGGCTGCCCTCATGTTTAGGGTGGTGCCGCCCCGGCGCTCGGCCTCTCGGTTCAGAGGTTTCTGGTAGCGGCGTGTCTGCTGCAGCCCTGGGGGCGGGAAGCCAGTGCTGGGGCTCAGCCAGGCTGTCCTCTGACACACGCCCGGACGCTGACGCTGCGTGTGAGCCCCCGGGAGCGGTCTCGGAGAGGTGGCCGTCGTGGTCCTGGGGCACAGAGAGGCGGTCACTTGGCCTGGACCGGAGGACCCGGTGCCGGCACGGGAGGGTCCGCTCATTCTCAGGTGTGTGACGGACAGGCTGTCAGACCACAGGCCTGGGCCTGAAGGTCCACTCTGGAGAGGATCGGTGGCCGCAGGCGGTGCAGAGGTGCCCGCGTGTTGCGCTGCATGGGAACGAAGACGGCCGTTGGTCTTGGCCCTCCGGCCTCCCCATCCCTGCCTCTGCCCCCACGGAGGGGACGGGGCCCTGTCAGGTTACCCCCCCTGAGATGCTGGCGGTCCTGGGGGCCAGCTCGTGTCCGGCGCGCGCAGCCTGCACCGCCCCGTGCCCCATCCTTCAGGCTCTGCTCGGCGATCTCCAGACTCTGAAATTCTAAGTAGACCGAGAACTGCTTGGCGCAAGTGTCCCTTCAGCTGCCCCGGCAGCCTCCACGCACCCCGTCCGTGGCAGCGGCGCTCAGGGTAGGACAGCGCTCACCGCAGCGGGCGGCCTGGGTGACCCCGCAGCAGGCCCAGCGAGGAGACGGAGGAGGGAAGGGGGGTGCTGCCTTGCTTTTCTCCAGGAGCACCCCCTCCGGCTCTCAGGGAGCCTGACGGGGAGGGGCGGGCACCTCCGAGTCTCCACCTGCACGAGGCTTGGGACCCTTGCCTCTGGCCATCCCTCTGCCTGCCCC